GTCTAGGCTAGGTTTATCTGAGAACGTTTAGTCTTTGCCCAAGCTTTATCTACATGGCACATGGTAATTAAAAGTACCAGATTGGTGTAACTAACCTTCTTGGATGTTTAACAACCATACTTTGAGGCCTATACTAATCTGGTTAGAGGGACCTAAAGGATAGTTTTTGCTCCTTGCCCTCCTAGGTAGACTAAGTTCCAGGGGACTATGAGCATCTCTCAAAACGTCCTGTAACTGTGGTGAGTCAACTGTCCTCTTGATTAAGGAGGCCATGGAGACCCCACTGAACGGACTTGAACCGGTGTCCAGTCTACAAAGAGGAGGGTCAACACAGAGGAAACATATCCTCCATGCTTCCAAGTGAAGCTAGCCACAGTTGAGCAGGACCTTTGACTTACCTTCACATAGATGGAACTGGTAAAAGAAAGGAGCCAGGGGTACCTCCCAAGCTCATATGACCCCTGAGGAACAGATCCTCAGACGACCTTAAGAGAAAAAATAAATCGATTTATCTGGGCCAATTGTATGGTCTTAAATACCCAAAAGGTAAGTATCATCAAATATTAAAGGGATCAGTATAATTCTTTAAGAAACCATGTGTTCAGCTAAAGGCTACATAACAAAAAACAATGCCAGACAGGAGATACCTTCCTTTGAGTTGTTGGCCAGGGTGACCCAAGAGATTCCCAGACCGTAACCCAGCATAGAACTGAGAAAATGAACAGCAGACCCCAATCTTATCTAAAGGAATATTGGTAACTGATTGCTGCTAGATGAGGAAGAGCTGATCTTCCTAAAACAAGGAAATAGGCTGACTAGATTGAGTGGATGGGCCAGCACTGGGGAACATCTGGGGGTGCCAACAACACAGTGGACAGTAACAGGGATGACAGAGTATATGGGCTCCAGTGGGGGTGGGGGGGAGGCTATGGGAAGGTTCCATTTGGGTGTGGGTGTATAGATCAATAAGGTTGTTTGGAATGTTCTGTATGAAATACAAAAAATTCAACAAATAAAAAAAGAGTTTTATTTGAGGAAGAAGCATAAAATTTACTTCATGTTACACATTACCATTGAAATCTACCTGATGACTTTATATCGATGCTCAGGTGCCAAGGATCCGAGGTGAATATCTTTTATTTTAGATAATATGCAGAGTCTGGTACTTTGTTATAGCAACAGAAAACAGGCTAATACAAAACTCCATAACACATAATAGAACTCATACAAAAAGCTTTTGCGGCTACTATGCCGAGATCTTTTTTAAAGGTTAAAACCTCACTCAATTTTATGTCTTAGGGTTTATACTGAGTCCAATATTGTGTCACTGTATTAATTCAACTGTGAACATAAACATTTACAGCCAATTTTGAAGAAGATGCATCTTTGCTCTGGAAATTGTTATTGAATATGTTAATGCTATAATGAAATACTTCTAATCATGTGGTTATTAAATAAATAATTAAAAAATAATAATGGTTTCAGTTGTAGTATGGAGAATGGTGTGCAGAGAGGACCCAGCGGTGAGGCTCCTGCTGTGCTACACAGTTCTTCAAGTTCTGCACCGTGCTATTTTTAACTAAGGAGTAGATGAACTGTGGAAGTGCCACACGACACACAGGGACTCCGAGTGCCAAGGGAATCTGGTGGGGAAAGGAAGTCACAGACGTTAGATTACAAGACAGTCCTCCCGTCTAGGCAAAAAGAGACTTGTGGTCTTGAAGCAGGATACTGAAGCGAGGCTCAGGGATATGATCATCAGAATTAGGACGACTAGCAGGAATAACACAAATGCTTTCATTATCAAAGCCAAGACTTACTCGCTTCTCACTCTCTGACCCTGGTCTACTTAAATACTGGCTAAAAAACGTGAAAAGTGACACCATCACTACATTTGATAAAATGGTAGAAAATTTATCCAAGCACAGACTACTTCTCTTAAGGAACTGGAAATTAAACTTGCACTTTGTTTTTAACATTTTGCTGCTGAGGGAAACAGCATTACAACCATAATCTTGCCTCATCAAGAATTACTTTGCTTGATTGCTATTGTTTCCTGCTTTAAATATTAAGTGGGTTTCTTAATGGCAATATGCGCTGATGGATATTTCCAACAGTAAGTAATGCTACTATTTTTTCCGTGTTTGATCTCTTTTTATATTCCTATGAGTTCTTCAAACTAAAAAACATGTTATTTCTAAAGAAGGTAAGCTCTTATTAATTTCTCTGTGGATTACATATATGATAACTCTATACACTTAGGCATTTAATCTCCTGCTTAAACAGGCTTTATATCTATTGTGCCCAGCATACTTTATTTCATGAGTTCATCGTACAGTGTATTATTTCCTGACACCTATGCATTTGGATGTACATTTCAATATTCTTGGGCACCTAGGATCAGCTGACTGCTCAAACAATAGGGTTCTAGGTAAGAATAAGGATGATGGCATTCTCTTGGCATTTTCATGTCCAGGTGTGTATCTATGCTAACATGCTCAACTTGATCTTTTCATGTCTTATTCTTTTCTAAATATTTTATTTATTTTTATTTTATGTGTATTGCATGTATTGCCTGCATGTAGGTTAGTGCAACCATGTTGCACAATGCCCACGGAGGACAGAAGAGGCTGTCGGATCCCCTGGAACTGGAGTTACAGACAGTTGTTAGCTGCCATGTGGCTGCTGGGATTTGAACCTGGGTCTTTTGCAAGAACAGCCAGTGTTCTTAACCACGAGCCATCTCTCCAGCCCCCATTTCTTATTCTTGTATAGTAATTACTTCTGTCTTCCATAGGGAGACTATCATTAGCATTTCCTGCTCTTGGCCATCTAGTCTGTTACTTAAGACAAATTAAAGTTCACTAGTTTAATGCGGATTGCATGTAAAACAGTGATGGAAAGAGAAAGACAAATGTAGGCATCTAAGAGTATTCATGAGACAAAAATAGACAAAGTAACATCATTGTGAGAGACCTTAAAGTCAAGTGTTGGATGTGTGTTTGGTATCTGAAAATGCACACTGCAGACACTTGATTTGAGATCAGTTTCTCGTAGGATTCTCTTTGTGTATCGTTGTGAAAAGTTAGAGGTGGGTAGTGGGAATGGAGAGGACAAATACAGTGTCCCAGGTGCTGGGAAGCCTGCTGCAACAATTGTACCCATCCCTACCTTGGGATGACTCCATTCATTACACCTTCCAGTAAACCCTGAGCCTCAAGCAGCAGAACTTCAGACACAGCATTAAACCAACTCCTGATGACTTATTGTTATACCCATAGATTAATCCGTCTCGCAGCTCTCCCCAGAGAAGCTTCCTCATGCAGCAGATGGTGATTAACACAGAGATCCACAACTGGCCAACATGCAGAGAACAAGAGCCTTCAGAGTACTTAACCCTGAACAGGACACCTATATCACCCTTCTGCCTCCCAAGGCTCAGGGATCATTGAGGAAGAAAGGGTAGAAAGACTGAAGAACCGGAGGTGGTTGGTGACCACAGGAACAGAGTTTTCAGACAGCTGGGCAGTCACTCGTGTGAACTTATAGCAGTGAGGTCGGCATGCACAAGACTCATGTAAGCTCAAGCCAGGGAATATCCCAGCGTAGAAATAGTGACGTGGGGAAGAAGCTCCAGCCCTACCAGAGGAACTACTGGCAACCAATAGCTACTGAGAGCGGGGGAGTCAGTCTTCATTAAGGGTGTGACTCTGAGTAGGTGAACCAGGCTCCAGTGAAGGGACCCATGCCAAAGGACCCTTGAGGACACAAGTTGAACTCGATAGGCATTTGTAAATATATGACTGGATATCTTTCTTATTTTAAAGGGCATGAAATCAGGTGGGGGATGATAAGAGGATGCAGATGCGGTAGGGGGTCTAAATATGCTCAAAATATATTGTATGAAATTCACAAAAAAATCACTTTAAAAAACTTTAAAATGTTTGTACATTTTTAATCTAATTTTGTTAGAGAAGTAACTGTCATATGTATCTTTTCTTATGTTCTTTGTATATTGTTTTCATGTAATGAGTGTAAGTTCATCACACAAATGAGGAATCATTCCTTGGATACTTTGCATCTCAGTGAGTACAGATTTTCTCAGCAGTGATTGGAGGAATTTCTGATTATTTGTCCTTTTAAAGAGATTTTTCCACTTTTTAAGGGAAACTTTTAATCAATCATGGTTATCTTCATTTTATTCATTTATTTATTTTAGTATTCTTTATTTGAAAAACTTATTTTCAGAAATAAGTGTTTTCCACTGGAGTCTAGTTGTAGCTTTCTTTGTTTCGTACATATCCCATATTGGATTCTGCACAGCGTTGCCGAGGCTGTCTTTGCCATTTAGCCTCCCTCACTGTGCCCTCTGAAGCTGGAAGTCTGCTTGGTAGGCCTTCAGTGGTGATTCATCTGAATGCACGTGAGTCTTAGTTGTCAGTTATGAGCACTCTCTGGTTATTTCTTTGTACACTTTGGACTATTTGATATCTACTACCAGACTACTTCTGGGCTCATTTCTTCTCATGAGGAGGCCTTCAGTTACTTTTATTCTTATCCCTACCCTCAGAGTCCTATAACGTAAGGCTATTTTTTTTGCATTTAATTTGTCCTTGGTAGCTATGTAGGGATTTCATCCCTCTCCTTTATAGGGGACTAATTGTCATAGTTATTTGGGTATCAAGATAACTATCAGTTTTTGCAAGGAACTTATCTAGACCAGTTTTTTCCTTATTTCTTTTCAGTTTTAGTTCAAAATTTCATATGCTATGAACAGCTAACCAAAAGTGCCCTGTGTTGCATTGGTTCCAGCACAATAGATTGACCTCCATATTTAGAAAAAAGAAGGATGTGTTTTTTCTTTTCATATAAGCTACAGGATAGGACAACCATGGCTTATCATCAGTTAAAGAAGCCCTCCAAAACATTCTTTCTTGGTTTACCTTTTCATACTGATCTTGTCAAGTCAACTCTGACTCGTAAACATCTGTTTTCCCTAGGTTTTGCTGGTACACCTGGATATCTTTCTCCAGAAGTTTTGCGTAAAGATCCTTATGGAAAGCCAGTGGATATGTGGGCATGTGGTAAGAAATCATATTTTCTAGAAAATTTGCAATACCCATCTGTCTTGGTCAATTTGGGCTGCAATCATAAACCACCAAAGACTGAGTGACTCATGATTCTAGAAGCTTGAGTAGTGTAGTGAGTGTGCAGTGAGTGTGTGCCTCTGGGTTCCTAGATAGTTCTCTGCTGATTAATAATGCCTTAGTTTTGGAACACTTTGAGAACAGATGTGTGGTGCGCCATCTAGTGGTTATGCTGATCAATCTGTCTTTCTAGTAAATATTCTTTGCTTAGGATGCTTGGCAAGGATTTAGAAGGATGAGGGTAAATCTTGAAGATGAATTCTGGTCCCGGCCTGAATTGGCAAGCTAATTTTCAAAAGTATTCTGTTCAGACTCAGACATTGTAAAGAATTTCAACATTACTTCTTATAATGGAATTTCTACATTTTAACATAAACTTCAAATGTGTGAAAGACTGAAATAAAGGTGATACTACACAGGATGTTCTGAAATATTTTACTACTGAAGTTATTAGCACAACTAAGTGCTCTAAGTTCTGGACAGAGTTATCGCTTCTGGGTTAATATAGGTGTGAGCTATGAAAGTTTGGCAGTAGTGTGCTCCAGGGAGATTTTGGTGTTTTATGTTTGTCTCTAGACCTGGAAGGAGTTCATTAAAAAACTGACATGTAGGTTCTGAGAGAAACTTGTAGATTTAGTCTTAGTATAAAATAAATAAATACATCTACCGCCACTGTGTCGTAGTGATCTATCACCCCATGCTACATACCTTGTCAGCTTTATGTCCCTAGCAACAATTTGATATTTAATCTCAAACTGACTGGATCCTGTATCAGAGTTCCCTCCCTACCTAGAACAGCAGATATGAGCAAGGAGCTGTACGTGTACTCACACCTGAAGTCCAGAAAAGCTACACTTGGCCACCCACTCTAATATGCCAATTAAAGAAAGTAGTCAGGTGGAAAAGCACCAACTCCTTCCTCAGGCCCACAGGTAACACAAAGTAGGATGGAAGTCTAGCACTTCTTCCTTTAATTTGTGTCAACCTTCTTTCCTATGGGTTAGCCTTCTGTTTAACTGTTCATAGGCATGTTAATCATTCAAGGCATATCTGTGTAAAAACCCATGTCACCTAACCTATCTGGTTTCTTGTCAAGGCTGAAGTCACACCAGTGAGAGTCATTGGCCTAATCCTGCAGGTATCTTTGATTATAGTAACAGCAGAGTCCATCAGAACAGACCACTCCTAAATGAGGACAGTTATCTGGGATGGCCAGGCTGTACCCTGGATCAGGAGTAATCACCTCACGAGAACCAGTTTGTCCCCTTAAGCAAAAAGGGGTTCTTCAACCACTGCTAATACAGAATCGAGATTGTGAACAACCTAAGCACACTTTGATCAAGGCTTCTTAGTTATGTGCCCATCTTGCTCCCTAACACACTTGTTCCCCTGCTTAAACTAGGAAGAGCAGCTGGCAGCCGGTGCGGGAAGATTGGGTGTAACTGGCAGCTCGTTCTTTCTTTGCCCGCCTCCCTGAAGCTCAGCTTCCCCAGGCCATTGTCATCCATCTTTCTTTTTTCCAGGTTCCCTCCTAGTTCTCCTTTTTCCGTTCGTCCTCTTTCCTGTCTACTTTGTAGATAGGAAGCAGCGTAAACTGTGCTTAAAAGAACACACCCAGATCTTCAGTCTGTGTGTCCTACGACTAGTACAAATCATTTGAACCCTGTATCTCAGCTTCCTCTTTAAAATGGAGCTAACCAGATTACTTACTGCCAAGAAAATGCTTTTAATACATCAGTGTTGGTTACCATTACCATTATTATTAGAAAGTGTTTCTTTAGGGATGAAGTTTCTGGGTAACTGATGTAGCCTTACTTTAGAAACAAATTTTAGTAGTTGGTTTGACTCCGTCATATGCTTGGCTTCATGCTCTCGCCTTTGCTTTCGTCACAATGTTCTACAAACAGCCAGATCCCTTGACATGCCCAGGTCAGCATATATTTGCAGCCAGCTCCCATTTTCCTGTGTGTGTCTTCTAGAAATGCACCCGAGACCACAGTGTTGCATTCTAATGAGTTGCTGTTATAGCACCTATTTGGGATCATGACCACTGCTGGACGCAACCTGATGACTTTCCCTTTACATTTCTGGGACACTGTTATTTGTTTCAAATTACTATTTCACCATATCCCTCTACTCAAGTGACATGAAAGGTACATTAAATTCACTTTATAAGATGCATGTTCTTGCTTATCGCTGTTTAATGAACATCAAGGAAGGCACTATGCACTTTCACCTGGTTACTTTTAGGTTATGACTTACCTGGAGGAAAACCCTTTCTCACCCATCAGCTGTCTCTTGCCAATTAGTTCTTTTCAAAAGTAGACACTGGGTTGTGTGGTAAGAAATGACACTAGTCAAACAACAACAAAAGCAGTCCGTCCCAGAGGATGGCATCTAGTCTTCTGTGTGAGTGAGACTGCGGGCATTCACGGTAGCAGGCTCTTTGTCATTCTAGCCGTTGGCAGCACAGCGTCAGCAGAGCAGAGCACTGGCTTACGCTGTGTGCTGTTAAGAACAAGTCCCTGCACTCAGGTCATCTTCAAGGCCACCCCTACCTTGGTTTTTTGATCTCACAGAGTATGGTCTGACCAATATGTGTTCTTTAAAAGCATTGAGTCCATTACTGAAATGTAAATAATAGGCATGAATGAGGCAGGAACATAATCACCTGTTCTGCCATTGCCAATAACAAATTGATTTTAATGGCCTTCTTGTGTATATAGCTGTTTCCCTACTGGAATGAGCAAATACTCATAGATGTCACTGGATTTTAATAGATCTCCTTCTATAATTTGCCTTTAAAAGGAAGGAAGGAGGGAGGGAGGGAGGGAGGGAGGAAGGAAGGAAGGAAGGAAGGAAGGAAGGAAGGAAGGAAGGAAGGAAGGAAGGAAGGAAGGAAGGAAGGAAGGAAGGAAGGAAGGAAGGAAGGAAGGAAGGAAGGGCAAGGGAAATAAGGAAGCCTATAAGCATAGGCTTGCCTCCCAAAATACATACGTGCTGTCTTACATATGTCTCTGTCTTTCTGTGTGCACTGTGAACAGTCATGAGTAACACTCAGTCATTGGCTGTCACAGAGTGTGCCAGGACTTTGACCAGATCTTTGGAATATTATGGAGTATGTTTCTACTTTTTCTGCATAAAGAATTTTGTGTCCACAGTTATGCAACTCCTGGGATGTAACCTTTTCATGATTCAGTTAAATCAGTATTGGGCATTTGGTTAGTTTGAAATCCCAAGCCCTGTGGGCAGAATGTTGCTACTACCAGTTCTGTAACCAGCTTATACTAGGCCACCACACGTATGCTGCCTCAGGTGTCTGCCGCCTCCATCTTTCAGTAGTCTTTAGCCCATGGACCCTACCCCCAAACATCGTCTATACCAGTACCCTCTTGCTCTAAACTTACATGGCTTTGATCCTTCTTTATTAACTGCATGTAATTTCCTTAATTTGGTGGTTTTTTTCAAACTATGAACCACAAACCACATGCTCTATTTGACATGAAGTCCTATCAAAGTTTTAGGACATGCCCCAGAAACACTGTCTAAAACTCTCTGAGGCCATGTGATCCAGTAGTCCCACTTCCAGGTATGTACATAGAAGAAGAGAAAGTAGAGTCTTGTAGCAGCTGTGCCTGCCTGTGCTCCTAATGGCATCATTCACACGCATGGAATGTCCAACTGGCAAATGAATCAGTTACATGAAATGCAGCATATACATACAGCAGACCATTACATAACCTTAAGAATAAAGGAGGTTTTATCATGCCACCAGATGGGTCGTCTCAAAAGACATTACATTAAGAGGGAAAAAAAAGAAAGAAAAAGCTCATCATAAAAAGACAAATCCTGCTTCATTCTATTCAGGTGAAATATCTGAAAAAGTCAAAGGCATAGAGGCAGAAAGTGAAACGTCTCCATGTTGCGAAGTGCAACCATTCCGGAGGGCTGCTTCTAATGGGAATGCAGCACTGCTGACTGTGCATTGAAAATTTGTTCATCCATTTCATGTACAATTGAATTTTCTCTGCTTAATTATAATATTTTTTTAAACTACAATATAAAAAGAATGCGTCTCTGGAAAAGGCTCAGGAACTTTCATCTTACCAAGTTCCCTATGTGATTTTAATGCGCACCACCGCGTTGAGCAGCACTCCCCAAGCCTGTCACCATTTCCTTCAGGAGAGCAGATTCAAGGGTTGCAGACAGGTGACATCTTCAGGGTGCTAGACCAATATAGAGCAGCTTTTAAGCCACAGAGATGTGCTGCCCCTAGATTGACCATGCAAGTCTAAGATAAGGGACAGTGGAGACCTCAGCATTCCAGTGGCTCTCTTTTCAGTGACTGCCAATTTCCTCTTCCTACTGTTGAGCAAGTGCTCTGTCATCTACAAAGCACGGATCCTTTTATACGGACTCCACCCTCATGAACTAGTTAGCTTCCACTTCTATAAAGCATCCCATGGGGATTAGGGTGTAATGGACAAGCTAGATTCCAGGGGACTCAGACATCCATTCCCTCGCAGGTCGGTCTTGCAGTGTGTTGCTGGTTGGCTGGACCTTTTATATTGGGAAATACTTGGCATTTATTATTTGTCTTTGTAATTTGTTAACAGAGCGCCTCCTATAAAACTAAGTTTCTGGCTTCTCTAAAGTAATAAGAGAAACAGACAGAATGACACTTTGTTCTAACATAGCGCCCCCATGCCTGTTCAGACAGGCAGACATAGGTCTTGCCCTGGTTACTGCCCCTCCTCACAGCAGACCACTCATCTGCTTGGGTCTGGGAGGCCTGGTCATTTCCTAATCCTATTCCATAGCATAGATGATTCTATATGAAAAAAACTTTCACCCTGCCGGCCTTGATTTTCTAGCCCCAGTACACCCACCATTGCTATTTAGCGCTCTCCTTACTTGAAGTATGTGGCGACTTTCTTGTTCTTGTTGAGAGTATTATAAGGTATGAGCGAACCATTCTTATCACTCATGTTGCCTGCACTTCTACACCGTCATGCATTTTGCATATGCGCTCATGGTACACAGCTTCATTTACCAAGGGCAAGTGGAGGTCTTGAAGGGACTTCTCCACTACCATCCTACTAACCCCAGTTTTTCAGCATTTCTTCATTATTTCTTCTTTTATAAGAGCAGACATTCGAATGTTTGATCATCTGAGCATAGATTCAGTCATTTTTTTCTAGCATTAGTGTTTATTAAAATAAGCTTTGAGTATTCTTGATAATGTAGACTACCTAATCAGCAATCAGTACTTCCCAAAACTCTTATTAATCAAACATCTCTCCTATCATCCACGCCCAGATTTACACATAAACTAATGAAAATGGGACAGCATCGTTTTAAAATGTTGTATGGCACCAACTGTGCCAGAAATCATTTCTCTGTTTTTCATGATAAGAGAATTGCAAATATACAAAAGAATAGACAATTATAATGAACTGATGGCTAATTACCCCACTTATTCCCCATCCCAAGATTGGTTTATTCACATTGAAATGATTTGCTAATACATCTCTACAGAAAAGGACTCTGTTTAAAGCTATGACAATAGTACTAATTGCTAAAATTTAATAATAATAGCTTAGTATCAAATGTCTTGTCATTTATCCTATTTACCTTCTGTTTGTTGTTAATTTGGTATCTTTCGTTTCTTAAGTCTCATTTAATATGTAGGTGCCACCATTCTCTCTCTCCCCTCTAACTTGAAATGTATTTGTTGCAGAAACCTGTAGTTCCCACACAGGACACACAAGTAACCATCCGTGGTCTCAGTACCACTTTTAGTAGTAGCTGATTGCAAGTCTGGGACTGCAGAAGTGTGGGTTGATTTAGTAGTATCTTGTCATTCCAGGAGGAAAGAAAAAGTTAAAAGACACAGGAGCAAACAGCAGCAAGCTTACTTCCACTGGCCAGAGGTAGAGCAGTTCTAGGATTGTTACAAAAAAAATAATGATAGCACTCGATTATAACACGTTAAAAGTAATTTCATGAGTTTATAAACTATCATGAGTTGATAAAGCTAAAGAGGCATTTTGAAATTTGGAGATGCGACAGAGTCAGTGAGTGGTTTTAAGTGCTGGTTAATAAAGGCAAAATAAATAGGGCATTTCCATGCCTTTACCATATAAACTGTACTCAGGGTAATCATGTAACGGAGGAAGCTTTTTCTCACTCTAAAACAATGAAATGGAATGAGACTACCATCACAAAAATCACTTTGTGGCAATTAACTCACAAATAAAGACATCACTGTAGCAACTCAAACAAACATTGCCCAGCCCCAGATGCTGTAGATGTCCGTATACTTCTATACAGAAAGCATTGTGATTCTAAACCTGTGGAGTGTTACTTAGGGCTTTACACTTTTTTGTATTAAAATTTTTTTAACAAATTAGATGCCCAAAAATTTGAAGAGTCCAGTAAAACATCCAGGCATCATTATCAAAGGCTTCTGAGGTCATAAGAGATGCTCAATATTTGGAGATCATAACAGTACCCCTGAAGTGCTCAATGTGATAGTTAGTGTTAACTGTCAACTTGACAGGATCTAGAATCAATTCAAAGGCAAGCATACCAGTACACCTGTCAAGTATTATCTAGGTTAAGTTGGCCTTTGAGCATGCTTCTCGGGGATGGATCTTCATTAGGATAATTGAGATGGAAAGACTGGGCCACTGTGGTGTCACCATTCCTTGGGCTGGGATCCTGGACTGTATAAAAAGGAAAAAGTGAGCAGTGTTTTTATATAAATATGTCCAGATGGACGAACAGGAACAGGGCTAGATGTCCACAACCAAGACAATCTACAGAAATCAAGGAACGACCTCTCATTTGGGAAAAAGTTCCAAGGCATCTGGGCAGAGGCTCACCTGCCCTACTTGACTTTCCAGGCTTAAGGAAGGAACAAAGGGAGAACTTACAGGTAAGCCAGAAAAATGGCAGCGCTTGCATTAGGAAAACCCAAGAAGCTAAGACCTTAGCAGGTTAGTAGTATCTGAAAAGCACCAACAGGACATTTGATGGCAAAGACCATAATTTCTCCTACCAAAGCAGAATGGATAGTATATGTATCTATGATTTCAGGGCAAGTTGAAAGTCTGAGTATATTTTTTAACTTTAAAAATTAAATTGACTTGTAGGTACAATTACCCCTCTTTAAACAGGTTCTATATCTGCAGGCTCAACCAACTATAAAAATATTTGGGAAAAAAAAAAACACAATTGCATTTGTACTAAAAGTGCACAGACACTTAACCTGTCATTGGCGTCTAAACAATAACAGTATAACAACTGTTTTATAGCATTTGCCTGGCATTTAAGTTAAGTAATCTAAGGATTCTTTCAGATACATAGAGTTATATAGGGTAACAAACTACACAATTTTATATAAGGGGCACACACAGACTTTGATATCTTTGGGGTGATCCTGGAACCAGTCCCCTCTGTGTACAGACAATGACTGTAAGTTGCATATTTTTGCAGAAGATATCAAATCATGTTACAGCTGTGTGCTTATGAGTTTGGATTTTATGTATAATTTCATACTTTTCTTCCCTTTTAGGGTTTTTTAACATGTGTCTCTTTGGTACGGTCCAGCTCTTTGACAGAAATACTCTTAGTTTTGGAAAATAAAATCATTGAAGAGAAAAGAGTTTTGTCTTTTTTATATGGTATCCACACTGCCAGGGGGACTGGCTATTTAGAACATGAATTTATAATCAGACCACCATCATTCAAAAAAAGTTCTTGGTGTTAATAAGTAAATAATAGAATTTTAACCATCGGCCTATATAGAATCTGCATACACAAGAACTCAGGGAGGCCAAAGATTGTATCCTCTAAAACAACATGAGATTTTCATATTTATTTGTTGCCCTGGCTACCTCTTTACAGTTCTACATTCCATGAAGTGAGCTGCTGAGGTGCTAATGTGGGGCACTTAGGAAGGAGGAGGCGGAGCAGTCATGCACCAGGGAGGAGCTTCAGAACTGGCCACAGTGCGTCTCTACAGCCCTCCACAGTGACTCCCTCTGTCGTAATGGCACTGTGGCTCTGCTGCATCTCATTTAATCATCTGTCTGATCTCCTCAGGTGTCATTCTCTACATCCTGCTGGTAGGGTATCCACCCTTCTGGGATGAAGACCAACACAGACTCTATCAGCAGATCAAGGCTGGAGCATATGATGTACGTAATAAGGATTATGAGGGTTTTTGTTAACTACCAAGGCCAAGGATTGTGTACATTGTCCTTTTAACCATAATTTTTGGTACATTTCCTTATTTATTTTCCCTCTCCTTTAGGAAAAAGGAGATAAGAGTAAGAGAGGTAGATGGTGGTGCATGCTTTTTCACCCTGCACTTGAGAAACCAGTATGGGCTACATGATAAGACCTTGTCTCGAAAATCAAAAAATAAAGAGGCATGAAATCCAATGTGCAGGCTGTGGGAGGGCATGGATAGAGGAGGGGTCTAAATATGATTGTGATGTATTGTATGCAATGCACAAAAATTTAATTTAAATATACATTAAGATAAACAAAAAATCATTGTCCTGATATATATTAACAAAGAAAAAAATGGTTATAATCCAGTTGAAACTTGTACACACACAGTGTAAGTAAATGAAAAGAAATGGAGTACACTCTAAAATAACAATTTAAAATATGGCATAGTAAATACGTAAGCTAGTAATGGAGTTGTTAACAGTTATTATGTAGTACAGATCATAGTATTATACATTTATATAACTGGTAGTGAAATAAATTGCTGCAGTGTTATCATGGCTACAACATCACTAGAAGATAGGGTCATACTGAGTGACATGCACAGAGACACACCACATAGTGATGGTCGAATTAGGAGTTCTTTTTCAATAGCCAGCTGTCAGAGAAGGGGCTAATGCCTCAAAGAACTCTTGACCCCAAGGAGAAGCAGGGCAGGGTTTATAAAGCTTAAAACCACAATTACATCATGTCAGGGGCAAGTCAATAACCATAGTTTCATCAGATCACCATAGTTACACCATACCAGGGGGCAGGTCAGTTATCAAAGAAGTTTTCAGTTAACAAAAAGTTTTGGTTAGGCTGTGTGGGAGGACATGATGTGCTACCTGGCTACATGTAAGTTTCTCAGGCTTGTAGAAATAATGTGCTCCCTGACACTGCCTGCATGAGACATTCTGCCTGGCTGGCTACAGTGGGAATGGCTGGGCAAAAACACAGGGTAAAGCAAGTCAGCTAGATCAAAATGGAGTCTGTTTCACCATTTCAATAGGAATATTTCAGTTCCATTTCTTATAGGACTACTGTCATATGCTAGGCCTATTGTTGACCCAAACATTACTCAGCACATGGATGCGCTTTTATAAGTGCAATTTACTACTCTGCTAGGTTCTACCAGAGTTCCCTAGAGGAACAGAAACACACACACACACACACACACACACACACACACACACACACAGGATTTAATGATACTGATTTACATGATAGGAGTTGGGAGTCCAACAGTGCTTTTCTGTACTCTGAAGACAAACAATCTGGGAGCTTCTCAGTCCATGCAGCTGCGTGCCTCCCAATCTAATACTAAAGACTTGTCTGTTCCCTGGAAGTCACTGGTTCAGTCCATGTTGGAAGTCCAAAGAACCTGCATTTAATGTCCACAGAGGCCTGCAGCGTGGTGATGGACATTCACTGAGAAGCAAGTGAAGGTGCTGATTTCCTCAAACACTGTTTGCAAGGTGCCACCTCATTTCAGGGTGGGTCTTCCCACCTCAGTTAATCTTTGGAAACACTCTCATAGACATGCCGTGATGAGGGTCACCTACTTGGTTCTGTGTCCTGTGAATTCGACAGTGCAAGGTGAAGCATCACAAACTTCACATTCCTTTCTGGAAATCAAGTACAGGATCTGGGATGTGTTTTCCATATATTTTCAAGGAGTTTCAAGGGAAGCTACGAAACAAGCAATGCTAACTCTACCTTATATGCATCAGTTAAAAGCTCAATGAGGAAGAGGGAGGATGCATACAGGAAGCTTGTTGTACTGTGCCAAGCCTAATAGTCTCTCAATGTATTTCTATTAATAAATTATATTTATTAGAGGTGGAAAGGGGAGGGACTAGGAAGAGAGGGGAAGAGGAAGGGGAGGAGGAGGGAATTAAAGTGTCTCTTCAATTTGGAAGCATTCTGTTCTAGAAGATATTGATTATATGCCCAGAGCTCACATTCACCCCTTACAGACTAGAGCCAAGACCCTTCCTTGTCAGACAGGGCCCTTCAGATGGTCTGCCTGGTGGCTTTTTGGAAATTAGAGAAACAGGAAAAAGCTCACCTTTCTCCAAGCTGAGCCTACACTGACACGGTCTTAAATGTTTCTCAAGTGTCCCCAAATAGTGAGCAAACGTGCAATTGCCCAAAATAAAAACGAATGTTAATCTGACAAAAGCAAGTCGTTGCAGTTTCAGTGCAGTCTTCGATTTGCTGAGCTGCTTCTCACATGCAGTCATTTTGTCAGGACTCGGATGCTGTAGTGGATCAGACCAACAGATTGTAACCTCCTTGGGGGTATAAATTTGGTTTAAGAGCTGCTTATTGGCCAGCCACTGAGCTGGTATTGCTGGTTGTGTACAATCTACCTTTCTTTGAATCACAGTAGATTGAGAAATGGCTCCTGGTTTGTTATTGGGAAGAAGAAGAAGAGAGGGTGACAGTTATAACTGATGATATTTTTTTTCCAAATCAGCTCATGAGGTACCTCTTTATCAAGGTTTTTCACCTTTCCAGTTTTCTTAAAATACCAAGTGATGATTGAATGGTCCATTTGGGTTCTTTGACAACTTTTTGTGTAGTTGTAGGGGGAGCAGTTTCAATTTTTGCTCTTGACTGGTCATTGTCAACTTTTGGTGGCTGGACACTACACTCTCCATCTTTTTATAATCATATTTCTGTTATTCGAAAGTTTCATGCATTTACAATGTGTATATTGACCATGCTTTCCCTCAGGTACCACCTAGTGCTCACCATCCCCATCTACTTCCAACTTCATGTCTTCATTTTTTATTAGTAGTAGTAACCCTGAATCCAACTAGTGCTACCCAGAAGCACATGGGTGTACAGCCATCCCCTGGGTCATAGTCAACCTGCCAACAGTCACATCTGCAAAGGACAGTAACTCCCCCCTCCCTCAGCATCCATCAGCTGCCAATACTTCCTCTGACAGGGACCCTCCCCAATACATGCTGGAGCTGTAACTGTCTTCATCTTGGGCAGGTCTTGAACAGGTAGCCATAGATGCTGGGAGTTAACAGCAATGTCATCTCCAGAAGTCAACATTTCACAAGTCTCCATCCCATGTACCAGCTCTTAAATTCTTTCACCCCTTCTTTCTCAAGTTTGCTGAGCCTTGAATTGTGGGAGATTTATACAGATGACCCATCTCCAGTTCAGTATTTAGAGTTATTTATACTTGGCACCTTGACCAGTTTTGAGTCTACACTAACCACCACCCACTACAAACGCACTCCTCACTTTTAGGTTCTCATCTCCTTTGCAAAACTTTTTGAATCACCACTGCACTGCTGGTTCCTTAGCAGGTCCAGGGCCAAATATGATGTGATGTTGTGAGTTGTCTCTACAGATTTTTGACCCATTTTGACCTCCAATAAGAAAACTACTCAAATTTGCTTTTTGTCCGACATGTCCATACTATAAAATAAATAGCATGTTATAAGTCATTAATAAACAGATAATAAGCAAGAAATGTACATTGGCATCATGTATAACAGGAACTAGATAGATGGTTCAGTTAAGAGTGCGTACTGCTCTTGGAGCAACCACGTTGAGTGGCACACAGTCATTTGTAATTCTAGCTCCAGGGGCTGCAGCACCCTCTTCTGGACTTGGCGGGCACCTGTACTCACACATACACAGACACACACAAACTCATAATTAAAAATAAAATGATCTTTTAAAATGTAGTAAATAACTACATTTATTTAGGGATGTATTTCAGTATCAAATGACAAATTTCAACAGTGTGGAAACTGTAGATACTTTGGCACCAACCTAAAATTTCAGATTATAGTTATCATTTAATATATTTCATTGAATTTTTGTGGATTTTATACAATATATATGAATCATATTTGGTCCCCCTTCTCTATCTGTGCCCCCCCATAGCCCACCCACAGGACTTTATGCATTTTGTCATACATATTAAGGCCTATTGAGTCAAGTTTATGTACTCAGATGTCCCTTGGTGTCAGTTCATCCGCTGGAGCCTGTTCAGCCTGTCTAGCACCACTCCCTTAAAGAATATCAGCTCTCCTTCACCCAGCAGTGATCAACTGTCAAAGTTGTGGCCTCCTACCCATTTCCCTGGTTCTATGCTGGTTTTTGTCTGACTGAGTTTGCATGGGTCTTGTGCATGCTGTCACCATTACTGTAAGTTCATATGAGCAAGGTCCCAGGAGCCTGTAAGATTCTGGCACCTCCTCCCTTGGCTCTTAAAATCTTTCTGCCCCCTGAGCCCTGGGTGGGTGAAGTTTAATGTAGGATATTTTTCTGTATCTTAAAATTAATTCCAATAGATAATAGCTCATTGCGTGTATGGGTTGATCTTAAACCAGTTACCTCTGTTTGGTTGGGGGTGGAGGGGTGTTTTCATTTTGCTTTTGGGAGTTGTATCATTGTATTTGGTAAAAATATTAAGTAGATACCCAGACACTGAGGCACATGCCTTTAATTTCAGCACTCAGAGGCAGAGGCAGATATATCTCTGTGAGTTCAAGGCCAGTTTGGTCTACATAGTGAGTTCTAGGCCAAACAGTGCTACATAATCATACCCTATCTTCAAAAAAAATAGCTCTGAATTTGATTAGATATTGAAGAAAAGGAAAAAGTTTTGAAGTGTTTACATTCATTCAGGTGTGCCCACATTAAAATAATTATGGTCATCTTACATTTTTAATTATGTATTTTAAATATTCACAACATTACTATTTCAGAGATGCTCATTTCAAATTCAACATCCCAAACTGAAAATAAGTATGCCCATCTTGAATTTTCAGTTGCTTTTAAATGTATGTAGCTTTATGCATTGGTAAGAAATCTGTCTAAATCAATGTATCTTAGGTGTAATTTAACTATATGTAAAAAGAAAATTTATGAGGGAATGCACTACTTACAGAAAGGATGAATGTTTGACTCATGCGTGTGTGTGTGTGTGTGTGTGTGTGTGTGCTTGTTTGAGACAGAATCTCGTATATCTCAGGTTGGCAATGTAGATGAGCTTGGTCTCAAACTCCTGCCTACTGCCTCCACCTCTCAAGTGTTGGAATTATAGGCATGTACCAAAAGGTCTGCCTTGATGTGTCTGTCTTTAAAAACTTTCTCCTTTTGAAGTTTCCGTCACCAGAATGGGACACGGTGACTCCTGAAGCCAAAGATCTCATCAACAAAATGCTGACCATCAACCCTGCTAAACGTATCACAGCCTCGGAGGCTCTGAAACACCCATGGATCTGTGTAAGTAGCTCTCCTCCAGACACCTCAAGAGCTACACTGAAAAACAAATTCATAATCTTTATAGATTTAAAATAATTTTGAAGAAAAATATGAGGCTCAACAAATGCATTTTGACTCAAGGTGTTTAAGAAAGAAATTTTATAGTGATGAGAACCATCACTGTTGCCAGTAGCAAATTCTGATTTGTACAAATTACTAAGTAAATATTGTCTACAGTGACAGGAGTTAATAATTCCCAGATCAATTATTGACAAAACTCATGAACAGAGGTTCAGAAAATGACACCAAGACTTACTTTATACCAGAAAAATAATTTAGAAGCAGTTCTTTAGTTTGTCATTAAGTAACCTTTAGGAACTTACTAAGTCTAGAAGCTCAGAGTGGTTTTAGGAGAGTCAGGATGGCCAACATAATCTAAGTGTCATGTAGAAGCACTAACAATAAGATTGTAAGGGAATCCAAGAATTCAACAAATTTTTAGGGTTGAGAGTTAAATGTTGGAATGATAAATACAGTGCCAAGTAAACACAGTATTGAAAGGCAGTCTAATAAAAATGTGATTAAAATGACACTTTGAGAAACTACTGATAGTCAGTTCTGTACTTACTGTACATATATGTTTCGGCTTAGTCACTAATAGTCTTGGTAAAGTCATGCTTTCATCTTTAGGTAACATTGGCAACTGGAGGCTTATAAATTATAGCATGCAGACATCACTAGTTGAGGGTACTGCTGTACTTAACATGTTTTAAATAAGCTCAAGTCACTTTTTTTCCCTTTTCTTTCAGCAACGTTCTACTGTTGCCTCCATGATGCACAGACAGGAGACTGTCGACTGCCTGAAGAAGTTTAATGCTAGACGGAAACTGAAGGTAAGAATTCTTACATTATTGTGGGATGGTCAATTTGCTAGGGTGAGACATGACCTACCATAGCAGGAAAAACAACTTTGGTACTAAAGCTTTTAAATTTGTAGATACTAATAGTCATTCTTTAATTTCTGGATCTGAGGAGAAGGAAAGATCCATGAAAATCAAGCCCATGATGAAGATGTAGGCTCGATGTGGCAATGTGTACTGTGGTTTCTCTCCTCGAGGAGACTCTAAACCTGGCTTGAGAATCTAAACCTGGTTCACAGCAGAGTATTCTTGGCATCCTGAGAACCGTAGGCTAGGACTCTAGGAAACCAAGAAATAAAAGCAAGCACTCAGAAGTCCATGAGCTAGAAATAAAACCAGAAGATTTGTTTGCCCCTGGTATGTGTGTTTTAGGTCAAAGATTTATAGAGGCAACTATGATCTTGTTTTCTTCTTTTGTTGACAGGGTGCCATCTTGACAACTATGCTGGCTACGAGGAATTTTTCAGGTACATGCATTGAAGTTCCGCTCCTCGACTGTTTCCTCTGTTCTTCACTATCTTTATGTGTGTGTGTGTGTGTGTGTGTGTGTGTGTGTGTGTGTGTGTGTGTGTGTGTGTGTGTCATTTTGGAATTTAAGAAGTCTAATATTTAGGAACACTGTTGTTCAGGGATATCATGTGTTCACTCCTTACACACCAGATGCTGCTTGTAGGACTCCGCTGATACTGGACGCCAAGTTGTTAAACTGAGCACGCAGGTGTGGAGATACATACCTCTTCATTTTAAACCTTAGCATTTCAAACTTGGACTTCATCCTTTGATAGTTCATAACTAACTGTGAGGGGTTTTTTTTGTTTTGTTTTGTTTTGTTTTGTTTTGTTTTGTTTTTTTTGGTGTTTTTGAGACAGGGTCTCCCTGTAGCCCCAGCTGGCCTGGAACTCACTATGTAGACCAGGCTGGCCTCGAACTCACAGAGATCCGCCAGCCTCTGCCTCCCAAGTGCTGGGATTAAAGGCGTGCGCCACCACACCTGGCATGAGGGGTCTTTTTTTATCTCATTCTCAAAAGGAATTCTGATGAGAAAGACTTGAAAGAAAGAAGATCATGATCGTGGAACCCAGCTCTCTTTGGCTTAATTTCTTTAAAACTACAGTAAAATCTTGGCATTCTGTAGCTGAGATTCAACTGTTAAAGCTGTCTAAATTCAGAATTTACAGAGAACCAAACACAAGGGGATCCCAGAGCATAATAAGCACTCCTCAAAGTGATTCTGTGGTTAAAAAAGCAAACTACAGCAACAAACTAAATGAAGCCAAGAAGCTTCTTCATTGTAAAAATAACTCCAAAATGGACGTAAAGTATCTCAAACCAACAGGAATTCAAAAATCAAATGTTGGTAAATACTAATCAAGCACATATGGTAATGAACTGAAGCAGCAATTAGGCTACACTCGAGAAACAGAGTTTAAGTGTTCAGACTTAGAAGAAGTCTCAAAAATTGGTGCCCTGAATACTATTACTTAAGTTATTCATCTATTTGTTCAGATTTTCTTGAGCCTGGCCAGCCTATTATAATGATTTCAGGTGGCAATCCATCATATCACTGATCAAATAAATGTTCTTCACCAATTCCCAGTTATCACTTGGACCTGTGTTAAGTGATCACCACTCTTTCCCACTTAGAAATAATATGAAACCAGAAGCTGGCAAGCAAAAGTAACAACATGACAGTATAACAGTGCTGCAAGTTCAGGGCCTGCGTTTCTCAGCTGTTCTATGTTTCATCAGACGTGTCTGGTGTAATACAACCTTGCTGCTGCCTTTGACAACTTACCTGTCTTATAAACACTTGATTAATGTGACTGACATTTATATAGGTGAGTTCATTGCCATGTAATTAGGCACTAACTAATTTATATTACATTAAAATAAGTCAACATTTCACTGTGGCCCAGAACTCAATGAACCACTAAAAGGCAGAGTGATTTACACAGACTATACTGTTAATGAAGGACTAATCAAAGAACCTCCAGAAACAAAATTATGTATTTTATTGAAGTTTTAAATAATACCCTTAAGTATAAATTGGGCCTTTTAAAAATCAGTGTTTTCACCTATTTTTAGAATCTTTTTGTTTACCTCATAGATTCCTTTCCATCGTTCTGTGAACTAAAAACCCACGACTAATCTGTGGATTTTGTGTTGTTTCTGAATGTCTTAGCTTGAAAAGCCAACTTCTTTATCCATCGTTTCGAAATCAACTAAATGGCGTTAGACTCAGTTCATCTTGTAGTTGATACTGCATTTTAGTTTTGAATATTGTATGCATTCTATGTTGAACATTCTCATAAGTAATCAGTCCATAAGTATATGGTTATAAAGTTGTTTTTATTTCTTCTTTTCTCTGTGAATATGGAATGTATTTCTTGTGAGGTAAGGTGACTAGTAACCCAAAGAGACATTTCTGTATCTCCCAAGCCAGACTGCTGCTTGCCCTGAATCATAGTCTTCTCTTTGTTTCCTGTTCCAATTCAAATTATTCTGTTTCCTTTCCAACCTGTTAACTGCCAGAGGATTTCTTTAATGCTGCTGTTTGGCTCCCGCCAAACAGTGCTACAACTAAGGCAATTGTTGTACCATTTCCTCAATAAAAAAATCAGTAACTTTGTTGTTAAAAATTAAATAATATGTTTGCCTTGTAAATATATTTAAATTTTGCCAAAGTTAGAACTAAAATAATGTGCCAAACCAAAGGAGTATCAATAAATTACATGTTCATGTAGTTTTATTACAGCTAGGTATTTCTGCTCCCTGTGTCAAATTCTCTTTTGATGTGCTTAAAAGACTGTATGTAATTAACTTGAAATAGAAGTGTCCTTTGCCCTCCGTATTTATGAGTGCTCTACTTGGTGATTCACTGCCATTTATAGGTGTAGTACACACTGTGTGTGTACACCCTTTTGAAAGGATGGCTTGTAGTTTTGCTATGTTGAAGAAGTTCAGTAATAATAAAAATCATTGCTTCTGTTCCTCGCCTTGCTCACAGAACCCCTAGGAAGATGAAGTTTCTTATGAGACCCTATGCTTTAAAGATTCCATTTAGTTTTACAACTTGTCCCAATTTTTATGGTTAACTTTTCAGTTCAAAGACCATTGTCTAGGAGGTCTTGCTATTCCAAGTTCAAAGTATAAAAGAACACGGAATCCATTTTGTAAGAACATTTGCTAAGTGTTTAAAAACCTTGCCCCTGCTCAGTAAGGTACCACTTGATTTTGTATAGGTAGTCATATTTTTAGTAAAACTATAAACAAGACATTATTTAGCCAGGGCAAACTTTTACAAATGACTTTCCAACCTACAAAGAGGAGCATGATTGGCAGCAATGATATGGCTACCAAACTCGTGGTGCTATGAATGTGTAATACAATCTGTCAGCTAATGTCTAAAGATTGAAACCAACTTTGTGGATTATCAAAGACAGTCCAGTTACAGCTCCAGTATCCTTTTCGTACCCAAAAGTGAAATAAACTACATTCATACCACTGGTAAAGTCTTGGATTTTATGCACAAACTAAGAATTTTGTTCTAAATTCGTTGTGCAAAACCAGAAAAGTGATACTAGACCCCAACATCCTGAAAGCTCAGACTCGACGCTGTGACTTGATGACTCGAAGTGTCCTGCCGTTACTCGGCAAAGGCGGTAGGAGACAACGACCTGATCTGTCACCTCGCCTACCGATGACTCACTAAACTGATTTCACTCTTGTTTTGCAGCAGCCAAGAGTTTGTTGAAGAAACCAGATGGAGTAAAGGTAAGTTGAGCAGGTTTTCTGACTTTCAGATGCACATAACTTTAAAATGTTGCCTTCAAATCCAGGTCTTTGTAGCTTGTTTTTTATAGTCATTAAAAAAAGATGCAGGTTGAAACATAAACTAATGTAATAGAAAAGATGATTATTATAGGGGCTGGAGAGATGGCTCAGCGGTTAAGAACACTGGTTGTTTCTTGCAGAAGACCTGGGTTCGAATCCCAGCACCCACAAGGCAGCTAACAACTGTCCGTAACTCCAGTTCCAGGGGATCCGATGGCCTCTTCTGTCCTCACGGGCATTGCATGACAGGGGTGCACTTACATACATGCAGGCAATACACTTATACGCATAAAAATAATAAAATATTTTTTAAAAAGATAATTATATATGCTATTAAAATGTCTTTTTCATCTGAATATATATTAATTATAAAAAATAATACTTTTAAATATAGTTCTATGGAAACTGAATGTCTATATCCTGTCTCCTTTACTACCCTCCTAAATCACCACCCTATACGGTTTAGAGACATGTTCAAGGTGCATGTCCTGAATAAATATTAGAAAAATCTTCCACAAGATGACAGAATTCTTGACTTTCTTGTATTTCTAATCAAAATCCTACAGATTGCTTCCTACTGATCACATCTTGTTTCCAGGGAGTTTGCTTTTAATAAAATGTAACCTCATGTTTTACGTAGTAATGTCTGTTCTCTTTCCAGTGTATCACCTAATTGTTTTCTCAATTACTCTCTTTCTCTCCCACTGGCAGATGAATACAATCCTCAGTACTTCAACATTCTTGGGAATTAATTAATACTCTAAACTTTGAGCTTAATCAAAGTCAGGTGGTCAGTTCATATTGAAAATCATTTGTCAGTTGTTATGTTCATACTGAGCCATTTTCTCAGAACCTGTCTGCGTGTGGCTGGGGAGCTTCCAGATCAGGGGTGACCAGTTCCAGCACTTGCCAGGTCAATGATTCCCCTTTGCCAGTCATTTTCATCAAGTTGAATTTATCTTCCCCTCATTTCGGATTTCAACAAGGACAACAAATGTCTGCCTTTTCCCTAGAGTTATATTGGTAAAAATATGGTATTTTAAATTTCTAAATGTTTTCTTCTGTTTTTCTGTGTACTGTGCTATAATGGAAACTCATGGTGCCCATGAGACAATAGATTTTTCTTGTTATCTTTACAGAGGGATAAAAAGATTCACAACTTTCTTCCACCCAACTTTAACACTTCTTTAACCAAAAGGATTCTGTACTCCACACTTTGGCACTTTAAAATTCATCCAGTCATGTTTTTTGTTTGTTTGTTTGTTTGTTTGTTTGTTCTTTTCCTTTCTCTTTGACTGGTCAATTCAGAAAAGGAAGTCCAGTTCGAGTGTTCAGATGATGGTGAGGATCTCTATCTGCCAGATTTCTCCTCCTGTGAAATTCACACTGAGAAATCAAACAGCCTCATTTACCTAAGTTAGTGTAAGTGGAGAAAATTCAGGATCATTACAGGTCAGCACCAATCAGCTCTACAAATGTGACGCTTCACATTCATATTATAATGTTTTCCTCTTAATTTGAACATTTCAAATATAAGTTAAGCCCTTATCCATAAAATGTTAATGAGTTTGACCAACGACAAAGTCCCACTTTCTCTTTGAAAATAAAGAGTCCAGGACATAATGAATGCTTACTCATAGGAAGAAATGCTTTAGTATTACTTTTTAATTGATGTTCATGATTGCTAAATTAGTAACAGTGCTTAGATCAGGTGCTCTACTGCATTTTCCCTAGGTTACCAATAACGTGAACATCCTCTCAGAGTGGACCCATTCTAGCTAAGCACCTTTAAAGGAAGTTTGTATTAACTTCAACACTTAATAAATCTACTGCCTTGCCCATACCTCGCAAGAGTAATACAGCATCACTTAAAATATATGATTGTACTCAGGTTTTGAGCAAGAAAAAACTTTATTTCCGTAATAAATTCATATGTATGTTTAAAAGACAAATATTGTTAAAAATGGTACTTGAAAATGGTACCTTTGAAAGCAAGCTCTTCTGGCTTTTATTTATTTACTTTTGTTATTACAAATAAAAAAGACGATTAAGCTAATATTTACAATAACAAAAGTTTTTCATTGTACATTTAAACATGAGTAAAAGTGATCATTGAGACCCTCGTGTTTTCCATATCTGATGACAAATTGATGGTTTATTGAGATAGAATGGTTTCCATTGAGAGAGTAATGGGGTGTGTGTGTGTGTGTGTGTGTGTGCGCGTGTGTGTTCATGCATGAATATATATGGGGGTAGGGGATAGCTGTGTACTTGGGCTAAATTTGTGTACATAAGTATAAATGAGTCACACTTTCACTAAAATAAAGTAGTCCTTAGCAACTAGATCCAGGCTGCATTTTTTTTTGGGGGGGGGTCCTATCTTATTTTAAAACTGCAACTATTTCTCTTTCATTTGTGTCTGATATTAAGATAAATGGTAAACACGTGAGGCCCTACAATAAACGTCCTGATTATTCCACGGGAAGTGCTATGCCTTCTCAACACGCTCCCTCAAGAGGAAGTTGTGTGTCTGCATCCGTCTCCCCTTCCCATGTGTCTTAAAATAACATAAGCTCATTTTCTTGAATAGACACCATCTCATCCCATCTCTTTTTGGCTGTTGCACAAATTTTATGTTTAATTTTGTACAATTGATTTAAAGAATAAAATTTTAAAGCTATTTTCAAAGTGCAGATTGATGGTTTGATCTTCAATAAGTTTTCTACTAAAAGGAAAATTTCCAATATCTTCTCTTTTCCTGCATGTCACAATATGACAAACAGCTATTAAATAACACCGATAGCCAGTCACCACACAAATGTGAATGACTAGAAAAGTGAAACATTATATACCTAAATTATTTCTCTTCCCTTCAAGATAGAAGATAGCTCCAAAACAACATGTAGGCTTAAAGTATAAACCTTCCAGAAATCCCGTGTAATAATAACTTGTAAATAATCATTTGATGCAGTAGCTGTTTCTCTAAGTCCATAGGTACATTTACATTATGGAGCCTATTTCTGTAGAAAAGAATATGCACATACCTATATCATATGGTATATGAAAATGAATGTTCATTTAAATTCCTTTTTGATAGCCACGAAATATGTTATTCATGAGTTTAAAATAATGTTGATTACTACTTTTTAGTATTTCAAACTCATAGAGTTCCAAGTTCCCGCATGTCTGTACAGACTCTTCTGTGGGTCATTGCCATATTTATTGACCACCTGAGCTTCTTTCAAAACCTGACTCTCACAGTGGTAACCATATCTCCTTTAAAGATAAACCCACATCATTAAATGAATTATATTACCAAATGTATTCTTCAAGACTCATGGTAACATTGTACACAAACTGTTGTGTTGTCTCTCAGAGAACTGTGAAATGCAAAGTCCTTTCGCATTCAGGATGCAGAAGTGTTTTATTTTCCCACTTATCACTGAAGATATATTCCTAAAGGAGACCCAGATTTGTCATTTTTAAGGAAACGCTTTAATGCCCGCATTTTGTCAGACGATCCAAATTTTTAATTGGATATCTAGTAAACAAAGTAATGATGGTTCCCCAAAGAAAGATGATCTGTGTGTAACTTCAGGCTCAGTTATAAAATGAGAGGGCAAAAAGGAATGTATTCATACTGGTGACTAATTGGAAGAGTGGCAACAATCTAATAGGAAGAATGCAAACATGGTTAAAGCCATTCAGACGTGCACCTCGGTCGGAGCTTCTTGAGGCCACACTGCGTACAAAGGCAGCACAGCCAAAGCAGCCCCGCCGTGTTCCCGTTCTTCCATCATAGATGGTTCTAGCCTGTGTGTGACCTTCAGAGACTACAAGCGCTCATCATAGCTGTCAGACTTCACAGCGTGTTCTCCATTCATCCTTAGTGGTTCGCTACTCTCACGTCTGTCTCATGTAGACTGGTTGGCATGTAGAGACATTGACTGCTAAGAAGTTTAAGGCATCTCTCTGTTTTCTGCATACCCACAGATAAACAGCAAAGCCAACGTGGTAACCAGCCCCAAAGAAAATATCCCCACCCCAGCGCTGGTATACCGGACTCTGTGACCCTTACGTTCTTGGCTCTGTTCTCATCTCCTTCATTCGCTTCACTTGTGTAGATACTTTGTTCTTTGTTTTATTTTATTTTTGCTTTCTAAGATATATAACTTTTTTTTCCTTTTATTTTTGTTGAGGTGGTTGTCAAGTAGTATGTGTCTAACACAAGACTCTCATTGTGGAAGGTTGTGCTGTTCTCTGTAGTTGGGATTGTTGCATGCTGGCTTGGAAAACAGGAGAATGCGCTTGGGTTACTCTTAGCTCTTCTGGTGATGACAGCTCAAGATTATGCAGACAATGATTTCTCTTTTTGTGAGAAAAAGTTGACATCGAGGAGAGCTAACAGGATTCTGGCAAGGTGACATAAAAGTCGACCTTATTCAGAGTTCCATTCCATCTGACAAAAAGACAACATGGCTTTGTAAGACTCGACTTTCTGAGGTAAAGAGGCACTCTATCAGTTAAAGCTTTTTGTTTATTGTGTTCCAGATTAAAATTTCACTGTTTCTTCCAGAGAATGAGATTATATAACTCCGAACTTTAAATTACCAGGAAAAAGGGTTTTTTTTTTCCCCCATTTCAATCAAATACACATATTTAACAACTAAGTCAATTCTGTTGACTTATATGAGAGGTATTATGTTAAAATTCAAAATTTGAATACTGGCTATGAGTACACTGAGTTCCATACTATTTTCTTGAAACTTTTTCGTATTTTGATTTTGATTCCCAGAAGTGTTTTCTGTTAACTGGCCCCAGACTGTTTTCATTGACTTCATATATTAGCAGCTACTTTTCTTGGGTTAACCAGTTGGGCCCAATTTAAGAGCATTTGAAGGAAAGACATCAAGAGATTAGAGGCTTACTGAAGGCATAACTCAGTAGCAGAATATTTGCTAAGCTTAGCAGAGATCCTAGGTTCAATCTACAATCCTGCAGAAATGGGGAAAATGGGGGCACTTAAATGGGGAAACCATGGTGGAAGGGTAGACAATGTGAGATCTAAATAATGCTTAGCTAGTATCACAACTCAAGCCAAGAGACGGAAAAACAGCAGCAGATGTGTTTTCAAAGTGTGCAGTACAAGCTGTCAGTTGGGAAAGTACATACGGTCATATGGTGGAAAGCTTTAGTTGGTTACAGAAACTTAGATATGCCACGGTATCCGGTAATGAACATGCCAGTGTGCTACATGTTACGTAGCACTAAAACTATTTTTGCATCAGTTACTGAATATTGTTTTCCACTTGAGAATTTTTTTCCTAATAGAATACAACATGAAAATAATTTTTTTCATGGAAAACCATGACCTTATAGCCAAGGAGTCTGTATATAAAGTTCATAGAACAAGAATTTTATTTTAGATGTGGTAGCAGTGTTTAAAGTTACAGTGATTATATGATTAGTTCTAAACATTTAAATGAACTTTAAGACACTCCTTAGAAATTCTCTTGGTCTTTTAAAATGTATTCTTTAGGATAGTTTTGGGGCTTTGTTGTTCTTTTTAAGTGTGGCCCAAAGTTTCAGGATTATCCCAGGCTATTCAGCTATGTGTTGATCATAATGAAATGGTAGTCAGTTCTCAAGGCAACAGGGCTGAAAAAAAAAAAAATACTTTCACAAAGAATTTGAAGTCTTCGCAGGGAATTCTGTGCACACTGCTCTTTGGCCAGTTTTTATGGGACAGACATTAACGGGCCGTTCATTAGAGCTCTGTCATAGGGCCTGGTGAAACAGGGAGTCAGTGAGTGCCTCCTTAGGTCTCTAGACTACAAAGCGTGCCTGCTTGCCAATCAGGAATAAGGTCTTTTGCATGCTGCTTCTGAGCAGGGAGTTGTGTGATCTCATGGGCTCACCACAGACATTTCATCAGAAATTGTCAGCTGCAGCCCTGACAGCCTTAACCGCCGCTTGGGCTCCTCTCACTGTTCAGTTCTGTTGTCTAGCTCTGTCCTTCAGGCTACTGTGAGTGTACTTACCAATACAAACGTTTCTTTCTCTATTTTCTTCTCACTTAGGAGCCCCAAACTACTGTAATCCACAACCCTGATGGAAACAAGGTATTCAGAAAGAACACCATCTTGCCATAATAAAATTACACATCTCATCAAATGCTCACTGTAAAATCGATTCATTATCTGAAAATGGCAAACTAATCCTTTACCCTCTCCCCACCACACTTTCGTCTTATCCTAATTAGTCTAGACTTTTTTACAAGTAACAACGAAAGGAAACCTGAAAGAAATCAATCATACCTTAGTCAATAGACATATGAGTCCAGTTAAACATTTACAACGCCTTTGTGTCAAGATGGCTGTGCATCTTAAGCAATTCTATGTGGTCCTTTTTCCCCTCTTCCATTCCTGTTTGTACATTATACAAGAAATATACGCAGCATGGAATTTCAGGATTTCTTGCTATTGTACCATTGTCTTCAAAAGTATCAACTTGAATTTGTAGTTTTTTTTTAGTTTAATGTTGCTTTTGAGCTTTTTAGTCACATTCTATTCTGTCGTCATATTGGGGTTTTGTCTGTTTCCCAGTTCCTTGTAATTGACGCTGTTGCAGTTTGCCATGAATTTGAGAGAAATCAGGGTGTTTCATTTCTTGCCGAATGTGTTTGATGTTCAGTTAGGCATTTTAGAAATAGACATTTAAATACTTATGCTGGATGAAGACTCATGTGTTCTACTTGTAGCAAACTGTGTAAAGCAGGTTGATATCAGTACTTGCATACATGTCTTTGGGATGAAAGGAGACATTTTCTGAACATATTCCACACTTCTAGCTTACTGTTTTTTATACAGTATCATATCTAGGGGAGAAAACTACATCAGACTTTCCTAAGATTTTCAGTGTGGGCATGGGTGTTCTTACTCGGTCAACAAATATCTAAGGCATAGCAAGTACTTTCATCTCTGGTTCAACATTTAGTTGATCTGTATTCAGTCATTCAAGTGAAAACATGAAGTGTTATGTGTGTTCATCGGAGATGTATTTTATTATCATGATACTAGAGGTAGTCAGAGCCAGCACATGTGAGGATAATTTCTTTACTAACACTATCGAAAGAAAGGCCAAGCATAGCAGCCGGAGCGGACACCGCCGTGGTCCTAGCTCCGTCATTTGTAAGAGTTGCTGCATGCTCTCTCTTACTTTCATCAGTTACTTTGTTTTTACAGTGCATGGGTTTGCCTTCATTTTGAGTTTCAGTCTGATCACTATATCACATTAAGAAATGCATGAAAACTTTTCTTTGGTTTTGTAAGTGTGTGTGGAGGCTCTGGATACATTAACCGGTTTATCTTTTGTTTAAATATTATATATGATACATATATATCACTTTTTAAAATACTGAATCTATAAATGGAGAACGACTGATATTTTTATTACCTTCCAACATCTGCTTGTCATCACTGAACACACAGCTATTGACTGGAAGTTTGGTTCTAATTGTTTTCAGCTCTAGCCTTCAGTCATTCCAAGAAGATTATTGGGCCTTGTAAATACTGCAACATTTCTTTGCTAGAAAATATTTTACTAGTACATTTTAATGAAAACATTTATCAAACTTTTAAGAACTGTATCTTAATACTAATACTTACAGTGTACTTTTAAGTGTGCTTACTAATCTTCAACTTAATTTATAGTTTTACAAAGAAAGTACTTTGTCTTTTTATTGTGGGAATACATTCCCTTTCCAATGACAGCCTGTTTCTGATTTTAAAAAGAATGAAAAAAAATCTAATTGACCTTAAAAATAAATTCTTCATTCTTATCCCATTTTCCTAATCATAGACATGAAACATTTTCTTATAACTACTTTCTACCTATCCCAGCTTAACCAGAAAATCTAAACGATCTTAGCTTCTTCATCAAATAATGCAATGAAATGTCTTCTCTCTACGATGCAAGCTAGACAAATACTCGCAGATTCAGTGCTTGGCATAGTACCTGACACGAGAAGGTTCGTATTAATTCAGCTAAAATAGGCAATTTCTCCTCTTAAAAATACATACCAGAGCACTCTGTGTGGAGCACAACTACACGTTCCTGCACAGCATACATCTGCTACTTTACAGATCGCCTACATTGATACTCAGTCAGGTGTTAGGCAACCAGAGTACTCCCTTGAAATTTTTGCAGCATTTGATATTTTGTTTCTGTTGAAAGTCACTTGATGTATTTGTCCATTTGCATGTCGGCATATGCACACAGCCTACTGAAGAAATTTGCATGATCTGTGTGTGGCACCAGCCAAGTTTATAAGAAGAATCAGCTCCTCGCTACACGCAGCTGTAAAGTGTGTTTTCTTCTCCACAGGAGTCAACTGAGAGCTCAAATACCACCATTGAGGATGAAGATGTAAAAGGTACGATCCAACCACCCCAAAAGCTCCCAACTCAGAGCTCTGAATGGATCAGAACAAAGTTTGTTCCCAATAGCCAGGATATTTAGAAAGGAAGCCTATTTGAAAAGAAATTATTTTTTTGTTTATAAATACATTATTGTGAATAATGCATCAGGATATAAGCATGTCAATCTTCATTTCATGTGTTTTAAACTTAGCATATGATCTGTGAAAGCACGTCATTGATATCACAACAAACAGTGACAGATTGTAAACATACCAATCAAAAGTAATATTAACTATATATACACATTAGGTAATAAGTTCTTGACATTTATTTTATTTTGTTTGACAAATATTTCTAGTAATGGACATCTCTGCACAAACATACTGAGTATACACTGCTGCTCACGTTACTTACTTTTGACCACATCACTGGTTTAGAAGTAGTCTTTTTGCTTCAATTTCTGTGCAAGCTTGTGTTCTTGTTTTTGTGACTGTGGATGGAACTCCACCTCCGTAGTCCACTTGTCTAGAAACCATTCTGAAAAGAAAATGGTAATAACAGAAACTTAAAATAGAAATATTAAGGGAAAAGAAATATGTCTTAAAGCTGAAAGATGTGATTCAGCAGTTAATTAAATCTTAACTGGGAAATAACTGACCTAAAAATATCACTGAAGGCTGTCACTTTTTAGGTGGCATTAATAGAATAAAGTCTTGAAAAGAACCAGGAACTGTCAGACCAAGAAGACACGTGGGCAATTTAGGAAATGAAAGTGGTTACAGACCACAGTGGACAGTCACCTCTGCTGACATTTTCTTTTGGCTGAGCAGAAGAGCTGACGCAATTTAAATGTGTTCTACTTATAATACTAGTGCACTGACTTACCTCTGCTAGGAGTTACTCATGTCTTACAGTGCAAGGATGGATAGCTGTTTCCAGAATTTTATTTAGTGAGTCTGTTCATCATGCTTTTGCTCCTGAGCTAAAATTTGAACTGAATTGATTTTATTAATCACTGATGAGTGTCCATTCAATATAGAAAGTTTTGTGAACCAAATGACAGATGCGTCATCTAGCTTTTCCAATGATTAAGGACATACCATCCTTGTAAGCATTTCAGATTCATTCGCTCTTTCAAGTAAGCAAAAAGTTCCATAAGATTTTGATACCGGCTTATATCAGTGTTCAGTGAACAAGGAAGTTCCAAGTTATTGTTTCCCAGAATAAAGAACTGAGCGAGTAGACACTTGCAGCTGAATCAGAGACAGCTTATAAAAGGTATACTTTCAGGGTATGAAGTTGGCCAAGGCAGAGAGAGTTTAGGGCTCAACTGTTCTTCATACACAAAGGATTGAGGTTTGGCACAATGTGGGATCGTTTTCTGGATCATTCCCATAGCATGGGCTTTTTCACACATGCTCCATTACATATACTTCTATATATAGAACTATATTACATGTTCTTGATATATTACATGTCTTAAATCCCCTCTGGAGTGTGTTTTAACATTGTAATGAGCCGTACATAGGTCACCTTCAACACTCTGGAATGCCCTGCACCTGCGCCAGTGACAGGATTAGCTGGCCTCAGTTAAGGGTGTTCTCCAGCCTTCCTCTTTTTAGCTGGTTTTTCTCATTTCTCGTTTGCCATCCTCCGCTAAAGCCTTCTGGATCTCACCTTGCATCCTATTCTCTGGCTTCAGTTTTTATCCATGTTTCTGAAAATTTGTGCATCATGCACCAGTGGAACTGAATCTTCTTTCATTAAATAACTAATATAACTACGAAAATACATCTTACTATGTGTGTAGTTCACCCACCTAGGATTATGTTCACACCTTGGTAATTATGAGAAGGGTTTTTAATAAGTGATCTTTCTCATTTGAATTTCACTTTTGAGTTATTAAATAACTCATTTTATTTCATATAATTGAAGAATAACCTATTTTAATCTAGACCAGCCTGGTGTACATATGAGACCTTGTTTCAAAGAAACCAAACCAAACCAAAGAGTCTCAGGGATTTCAAAAATGGAGGCACTATTCATTTTAATAGTTAATTTACATACACCAAATAGTATTAAGCATAACAGAAATTAAGCATAACATTAAGATTAAGAGAAATGTCTAGTTGATAGTTGAGCACAGGTGCTTTCCTTTATTTTCTTGAACCTAAAAAATAAATTATTTATAGTTCTGCTTAATTATCCTAGTGTATACCTGGCCACAGAGTCACAGATACAGCACCATGGGCCCCATCTCTCTTCTCTATAAAACATATGCAGCCTTCTGATAGCTTATCATTTTAACGTTGAATGATATTAAAAGTCTTTAAGACTAGAAGATGCTTCGGAAGATCCACCTAGGCATCATTCTGGCTGTAAGGCCGGTGAATGATGACCGATCACAGTGATTTTATTGCGCTTACTATATTGGTGATATGCTTCTGTAGGAACCTCTGCAGTCATCACAGAAAAATCCTCAAGAAAGGCCTGACATAGTTTTACATATGTTTTGCATAGTTTTACATTTTAATTTTGTTCTGTTCACCCCAGGTTTGCCATAGCTCTGTGTAGCTTCATAGGAAATATATGTATTACCTGGCTCTGTTAGGAGCCAAAGTTACAGAGATCTCTTCCATCTAGGAACTCCTAGTCCTGACCCAAACTATAACCTCCCCACACGATCATTTCATGTCTAGAAAATTGCATTTCCTGCTCCCACTCTCTGTGCACTATGCCACTGAGGATACAAAGAACATTGTTATCAGGATGAAACACCCTACTTTCCAGCATATTCTAGACATGTTTCTATACCACAGTCATGTATGCTGACACCTGCTGTCCCCAGAGTTTTTACTGCCAAAACACCTGACACCAGCACCTAGATTCACATTACTTCATGGAAGCGTGTGGCCCCTTCATATCGTGTCACATCTTGCCATGCTAGTATGTGGTACTCAGCAGCTGCACAGGCATGACAGTGTTTGTCTTCACTGCAGAGAACATGGGTGGGTCACATAAGGTAACCTAATCACAGGAGGAAATTAAGTGCATCAGAAGCACAGTTCTTTCTCATGGCAAAAGAGGCTGCGTGCGGCCAGCTATGCCTAGAGGAGAGCAGAAGTAGTGAGTTCGTGAATGACGCTTTCTCTCCAAGGGCACCAGGAGTGCCCTGGAAGCCGATTTGAATAAGTCTCCCTTTAGGTTAAGAAGCTGGGCGTGGTGGTGCCTCCTATAATCCCAGTACTCAAAACACCAGGGCTATAGGATCGCTAGTCGGAGGCTTACCTCAGCTACATAAGAACAGCCCATCACAAAACAAAATAAAATGAATAACATCAGGATTGATGTCTAGTCATCTTCCCAAACTTGTAGTCTTCCCAAACTTGCAGTCATCCTGAGGGACTTGTTTTAATAGTCTTCTTAAAGAAGCTTCCAGAGCTCATTGTTTCCTTTCTCCAAAGGCTCACATCTTAGTGCCGACCCTTTGTGCAACTTCCTGATCTTCTGTGTTCAGAAGCCAGAGATTATTTCTGGTGCTGTGTCACGAAGCTCAGCGGTGATCTAAATCTCATGGAGAGTCAGCCATAGTGTCAAAGCATGGTTACTGCCATAGACAGAAAGTAGTCGTGGCATTGTACACTCAAGAGAGAATGTTCTGCTGAAACTACCTTGTGTTTCAAGTTCTAAAAATTTAGGTCCAAGTTGTGGAAATACCCATTTCCATTTTGAATACATTTCTAGCAAAGCATTAGTTTCGACTGTTATTATCCGGTGGTCACTATTAGCTTTACACTTGAAGTCGGCAGTTCTAACAGTGCTCCTCTTCAGGGGTGCCTGAGGTCAGTGATACTTAGCAGTGGTCTTTTGCATACTGTCTGCATTTGAAGACTGTCCTTTGATTTGTGGCTGTAGCCACAATTTGCAGGGCCTGTCGCTGTATGCCACAATGCCTCTCCACCTCCTAACCCACCCAGCACCGAGTACATGTCCACTTGTTCCACCTGCTGCTCTTTCCCAGCATGCCAGAGCTGTATATCACCTGTGGAAGTTGGGCTGCTGTTTGTCTTCTCTGTCACTCATCCTGCTTCCAGCATCTCACTTCAGCTCGCCACTCAGCAGCCACTTGGATCCCTTGCTGCATGCCATCTGCCTCACAGGCCTAGCTCAGTGCAGCTCAGCACCAGAAATGGCTAGCTCGGAGATGGACTTTGGGGAGCAGGGCAGTGCGTCCTTGCTCAGCATTTTCTATTTTTCCTAAGGTGATGGTAAAGAAACTGCATAGGGTGTTTGCAGAAGGTCCTGTTAAAGACAAAGATGCCGAAGACGCTGACACCCTTATCACTTCCATGGGGTCTGTATCTCATAATACCCCAGTGTCTGAGCTGTCTGTCAAATCTCTTGGTGAAAGAGCTTTATGTCTTGTAAATTTGTGCATTGGTGCACTGTGTGATCACCAGTTACTCAGAGTCAGCTACCCTTGTAGACTTGTTTTATTTTGTTTTGTGTTTGAGACAGGGTCTCCCTGTAGCCCCAGCTGGCCTGGAACAGACCAGGCTGGCCTCAATCTCAGAGATTCAGAGATCTGCCTGCCTCTGACTCCTGAGTGCTGGGATTGAAAGTGTGAGCCACTGTATCTGGCTAGACTGCTTTTACCTTTCTGTGTGGGCTTTCCTGTGGAAGCTGATCAAATGATGCTGTTGCTCCCTGCATGCAGCTCACTGCTCGGCACCTGTCATCCACGAATATCTCATGTCTAAAAGACATACAAGTGAAGAAGCTCCTGCTTATTTTGCTGAAGGATTAGGGGTAACTAAACATTCTGGCAGGCTAAAAGTGTCTTAGACAGCCTGTAGTGTAGTATATGGTAATTTCTTTCCAATTTGGGACACAAAATTTCTCTGAACTTTTCTTTTTCCACATTTCTGCTTTACCTCCACACATTTGACTCTGCTGCATGTCAGGCTTGTATCTTGAATTTGTCAGTGATAGCTTCAGGCTGTGGAGGTGACCT